GTCCACCCACTGTAAGGTTGAGTGATCCCAATTAGCGATGCCGCCGAGTCTTTACTCGAGTCCCCGGAGCGAGTGCGATTACGTCGACACACACTCAATTCTCGCGGGCGACGGAAAAGTGGGAGAAAATTAGTCCCGCTGTAAGTGCAGTGATGCCCAATCCCGATAACGATCGGCCGCACCAGTCATCCGTGATTACTTCACGAAGCGATGGCGATCTCCAGTTACTCGGAGTAAACGCTATCCCGATCGTTTCACTATCACGAACGGTTGTAAAAAAAGGCGAGAGCGAAACCGTTGCATGTCAGTGCGATTCGATGTGTGCGCGGGAACGGACAAACGAACGAACGGGCAGATTGCGTCATCGGCCGATTGCGAAATAACTTCGTTTCTCATTAATACGCACGGCTACCGCGAAATAAGCGATACCCGTTGGCAATAATATCCCGCGGCCGATATCACGTGTCATCATTGGATATTCCGGCCGTTCGTATCCCAGACGGAAAATTGGTTCATTAGGATGTCCGTGTAAACCGTTCTCTCGTTAGCGTGAGAAAGGCTCGTAATGCGGGGGTTGAACGGCTCGTGGGGCACGCAATGTCTGGTATTCGAAGTCCCCGTGAATGCCGCGCTCGTGGAACGGCGTTACGCCCGCGATCGCATCGGCGAGATAAGAGATTTACACGTTGTCATAAAGATACTCGATCTTTAATTAATTTCGCAGCCAACTGCACTCTTTCTTCTCCCTTCCTCCTGCCCCCGACACCGATACCGCCGCCGCTTCGCTGCAGATTCGCAGCGTCGTACAATTGAACAACTGTTTCATGCGCGGACGTCGTGCTGTTAGCAAGTAGTTGCGCCGCGCTTTAATAAGTAGTAAATCCTATTCGCGCGCCCGACGCGTAAACGGCAAGTCGTACCGTCGACTCGCACCACTGAGGGTAGCGAGCGAAATTCTCGCTCTGCGATTTCGGGACGACAGATTCGTGTGTGTGCGCGCGCGCGCGTGTGTGTATCGTACACATCGGCAGAGAGTGAAACATAGGTATGTATCCTTTTATTTCTCGCGTGTGTATCTGTTTACGGATACTTGAAAATCGAGTATATTAGAGAATAATATCTTCCGAGAATAACATCTTCAAGACTCCTATCGACTTTCCTTATTCAGGTCAAAAATCACCGGAGGAGAAAAAATACATATATAGGGCAAAAATATATCCGTCTCAAGACGTGTCTCCAACACTAAGAATTTCGCGATACTAAGAGCACATCGTGGTCGTATTCCATTTCTATAACTTTTTGAAAAGTGTCATTGTAAACAGAAAATATCTGACTTAAGAAGGGAAGAAATGTGCGCGAGAGACAGTTTTCCCTTCCCCTCTTAAGAATACTCGCTTCTGTGTCTCAAGTTATTCAAGAGGTTAAGAGAGAGTGAGAGATATAGAAAAAGAGAGAAAGGAATGAGGAAGCTGACTTGACTCTCTCTCTCTCTCTCTCTCTCTCTCTCT